TATTTTTTTCTTTGATCTGATGTTTATATTTAAATTTTACTTTAAATTTCTTTTTATAGAATTCTCTATATTTATTATAATATACATTTTTTAGCAAGATAAAATAAAATTTACATAATAACGACGACGTTTAATCGATTTTTGTGTGATTCATAAAATAAGAAGCACATACGACGTATTCGCGTGAATACAAATGGAAAGAGCGTTGCGTATCGGACAAATGCGGTATCTTCGCATTTATGTGTACAGCCGTTGTGGAATCGCACCTGTGAGAACCGCGAGTTGAAACAATTTGCATGCAAATGCGATGTTATCCCATAACTATTCATATACGGCAAGTTGATGAGAATTTCGACGACGCAGCAGAAATGCTGCGTCTTCGCACATGTTTGCCACGATATATAATTATCGAAATCTCCTTCTCTCACAAGCACATTCGATTTCTCGAGGGAGATATCGGAAAATCATACGATAACGTCCGCGACATTGTTTCCTCGTGATTGCGACGTCTTTCGCACAGCATGTGTAGATAAATAAATTAGTACCAATTTTCTCGACCCAGTGATTGTTTGACCTACTTTACAATAAGTTGGGGAATTTAGTCTTAAGTCGAGATGATTAAAGATTAGATTAATTTTTGCACATTTATGAAAAAGCAAATTAGAGCAGCGAGTTTTCCTTCGACGAAAAGAAAACAGAGAAAGATTTTTTCTCAACGGAAATTTCCAGAAATTCCAGAAGAATTGATTTTGCGATCCTCACAGAAATAACGATAATTTTATCAGACAAATTGAAAAATGTGTCTGATAATATTGATGACTTTGTGTAAAATCAACACGATGCTTATTTTGAAATTTATAAAGAGAAACGTTCTTCATACATAAACATTCAATTTTTTAATTACACTTCGCTCTCTTTATTGCTCTTGTAAATATATTTTTTCCGTGTTCTCATATATATGTAAATCTTATTGTTTTAATTGTATTTCTTTGGAATGTAAATGTCTTTATATTTTTAAATGATTATGTTAAAATCGCTATTGCTTGTCGTATAAAAGGATCTTTCCTATTTTTTTTTGTTTCATTTTTTATTTTTTACTAGTCTATATAAAATGAAAGGCCTATAAAGGACGAAACGCAAAATATTTCATTTTGAAACAAAAGGTATACGATAGCTTTTGCAATACAAATACGTCTTCGAATTTTTTTGTTAGAAGCATGATCGATAATAAACGCATAGCCTTCTGTTCGCATGTTTTATCGCTGCGCGAGAAACAAATAGACGTCGTTATCGGAAATCTCGGAATCGAGATTAGCAATTTCACAAAACAATACGTAATATATTTCGCGAGTGATTCGCACAAAGTCGTATACGAATTCGAGATATTGTCGATAAAGCTGAATGAGCGTGAATGCGCTTTATTATGTTCTCCGGAATGGACGAAAATAGAGCATCTTTGTTGTTAGACAAAGACTGACTATATGAGTAACGATGATAATAAGTAGAAGCGACGGACGTCGTATAAGATTTTTCCATGAGTCACTCCTATTCTTCAGCGCGTGTCGTCGCTTTGTATATAGGTACAAAAGGACGCTCGTGCATACTAAAATATGAATTTTCGAGCAATAATCTAACGCGCTTAATATTTTTCTTGCAATATTTTTTCATTCATATGTATTAGTGATGTCTTTTTTCCAAATTTATTTTTCCATATATGAGAAAATGATCTGAATATTTATTAATAGCTTAATATAGTCATTGTTGTTATTTATATTAAATAGAATATTTTGTGAATTATAAATATGCATAGTTATTTTTGATATTTGCAGTTTTGTTTCCATGAGAAGAAGTTGTAGAGATATATGTGTATCATGTGTTTACTTATATTACTTATTGTTAGAAGAATGGCGTATTTAGAAACAATTTTAGAAACGATGTGTGTGTGTGTATTTATATAAGCGAGAATTATCTAAAAATATCTATAACTGATCTATAAACAAGTTTACAAACAAGGGTCTAAATCTAGAAAACGAACGTTTGCATATATCTTTTATCTTAGATCTGCACTCTCTCGCTTTAGATTGTGTAACATGGAATACTTTTTAATGAATACCGCTTCCCACTTTCTTTTTCCTTTCACATTAATTACTTCACAATACCATGAAAATCGTTAGGGAAATACTGTACTTTTACTGCCTCGTCGTTTTTCAACTTTCATTACGTCGATAACCTGTAATTTACTTTCTTTTAGTTAAAAAGATGTAAAAAAATTCTAATTAAATGAGTAATTAAGATAAATCGGAAAAAATATAACCATGTTAAATTGTATATAGAAGAGAGGCTTCAAAATTTATTATTATAACAATTTAAAAAATCGTGTCATCGAAAATCGCGATTTCTTTCCTTCGTGAAATCGTAAGATCGTCAACGATACACATGCAACGGTGATCATGCGATCTTTTAAGCCGACGCATAATCCCGTTTTTGGGATCCCGTCTTCTTCTGGTATCCCTCGCAAAAACCGGTTGTTACATTCGGAGTAAATGTATCCGTGCGATCGTGTTAATGCATCGCGAACCGGTCGAGGAATTCTCTGCGTATTGAACTGGCTCTTTCTCTCTCTCTCTCTCTCTCTCTCTCTTTTATACATTTTATATTTCAATTATCACAAACTACGTAATAGTAACGTTTTACGATGCGAGATTGTATTTCCCCGATTACTCGAAGTATACGCGGTTATACGTAACTAAAAAGATAGAAAAAAGAGATAAATAATTGACATGAATTGCGATTTACAATTTGAATCTCATTATCGAGATTATTTTTAAATACTCAAAGTAAACAAACGATTGGATTCCTAAACATCTACGCCTTCCTTCACAATTTCTTTCTGCGCAAACAATCGTGGCAGAAATATACGTTCATATAATTTGCTATTTTACTTGTTTAATTTTAATTACTTTGACGCGTGCGACTTTTGCTTGTGATATAAAATATTTGCGAGTGTTGAAAGATATTGGTCGTTTCTTACGATACACTATCCTCACAAACTGAGAGAAAGCAACTATCCAATTATTTAATCGGTAATATCTTCGTGGAATTGTGTCGCTATGATGTAACAAACTTTATTGACGAACGTCAGCAATGTAGCTGCTCGCGAACGGAGGGGCGTTTAATCGAGATACGATGTCGCGACGAATGTTATTGAATGATGTGGCATTGAAGATTGACTTAATCGCGTCGTCGTCGTCGTCGCGATTCACGTCAGTTTTAGAGCGTCACCGTTGGACTCGCATTGCGTGCACGCGAATTGCGTGCACTATTTTGAGACAGAGAAACGCGATATGTATCCTTTTCTTATATTTCAACAATGTAATATATCAGATGTCGCTTTCGAGACGCCGTATTTTCTCGGTTAGACGCAAGTATATCTAGTTTATTTATATTTTTCATTGCTATGTATACATATGGGTGTGTGCGTGTGGGTGTGTATGTGCGCGCGCATGGTGCATCTGGTGATTAACGTGCTACATTCGGAACAGCATCGCGGAACGCGTTCCCATTCGATGCAGCTGTTGCGAGTGAACGCACGAGAGGATCGCGGTAGTAGAATTAGGCACACTCTGACTATTGCGCGTTTTAATGCGATGATTAATTAGACGGGAAATATCGCGATCTGTTTTTACACCGCACGATTGAACCAAAACTTCGAATATAATTAATTACGAAAAAAATTCGAAAAAGATTCGATAAACAAACACGGACCTTTCGCCAAACGATAAATTTCGATTCGTGTCGGGGAATTTATAATCGAGGGAAAGTCACGTCGAGTAGCTTCGACCGCGGGGGCAACTCGATATATGGTATGTATTGTTAATGAGCCGTCGCGTCGCAAACGTTTCACGACTATTGCGCCCTTCCAAGTTGCTGCCGAGAAAAAAAAAAAACGAGACCGAGAGAACGCGAGAGAAGACGTATTCTCGAGAACGTCGTAGTATCGACTGGCCAATCGCCGGTCGTGTCGAGCTCACGCCATGCACGACGTCGGCGCCGTCGTGTGCGAATCCATTCTCACGATTGAACCAAAACTTCGAAGGGGAAATAGAATTTTTTTTTGGAACAATTATTTGTTATACTTTCTATTTTGAATATATAATGTATTCATATATTCTTGATGAAAATTAAAAAATAATCTATGACATACGTATCGATTGCAATACGCGTATTAAGCACGACTTATTGTTAGCTGTCAAATTTAGTTGCTTAATAATCAATTGAACGTCGGATTATTTTTCAGAAAATTAGAAATTATCAAAATTATTTAATTATAGTTATGCGAAAATTAATATAATCATGAATTATATGGATTTTAATTCATCCGAGAAAAGTGTGATCGACTTATAGGAATATACCATATATGGTCTTGTCTATAAATTGCGATCGTGAAGTAACGCGATTCCGCGATTATTGCACTCGGTTGTAGCTCTTCTTAATACTCTCTTTCTCTTTCTGAATATTAAATCTCGTTTAGAAAAAAAATTGTATTTATTTCCGATTGAAAATTCTCAATAAATAATATATTATATATAAAATGCGAATATAATTAATTACGAAAAAAAAAACGAGACCGAGAGAACGCGAGAGAAGACGTATTCTCGAGAACGTCGTAGTATCGACTGGCCAATCGCCGGTCGTGTCGAGCTCACGCCATGCACGACGTCGGCGCCGTCGTGTGCGAATCCATTCTCCTTTCGGATGCTGAGCCAACATATTCGATCCATTGACGTAACGACGGAATTGAGTTTTCGCGACGCGTCTGTAAAAAAAAAAAAAAACAAAGAAAAAACAGCGTAATAAGTGCGAGAGAAACTTTTTTTTTGCTCGAATTGGATTGATCGAGCGAGCGTTTAAAATTAAACTTCCCCCGATTATACTCTCGCGTAGATGAAGAGAATCATCTACGGGAGACATTTGTTGGGCACACATTTGTTTCCGGCCTCCGTATCGACTGCAATCACAAAAAAAAAAAATAAAAAAAAATGGATATTTTTATAATTTCATTTTTGAAAAAACTATAAACTCTAAATTCTAAAGTCTTTGATAAGTCTGGACGATTATTTAGATCAGTAAGGTTGGATTAAGCAGGAGGCAAATAAGTATAGATTAAGATGAGGATAAACAGAAGGACTAAAATCCAGGATTAGCCTTCTTACGGTACTCTAATCCAACACATCTGGCTTTTTCGCATCTGCGTTTCTTTCTTTTCTTGCTGTCTGGCTGGAAACTTGTTTCTACTTGTATTCTCTAGAAAATTAGAAAAATAATTATATACGATGTAATGATATATAATAATATCCGTAAATATTAAAAGATATTAATATTAATAAATAAAAAATAGAAATATGTATGTTTAAATCTTATATCACATCGCACTTTGACTCTTTTTATCATCGTCGGTTTAACAACACGTGCGATCCGAAAGATCCAAGGAAGGTGATGAAAAGGAAAACGCAGTCGTATAAGTTATTTATAACGGCAAGGAACACACGGCTTTTCACGATTGGCAGCGAGACGCGAATAATCAAGAAATACATAACCGCGCATGGATTAAAGAAACCAACGAAGCGTACAAAAAAAAAAAAAAAAAAAAATTTACACACGCGAATATGCATATTGATTGTTTTTCGTACAGTTGCGTGTGTAATTACTCGACTATTGTCGCACGAAAGGCAACCGCCGCCGTCTTTTTACGCGCTAATCAAGAGTCGCGATAAAGCTTTGAATTAAGTGCACGAGAGCAAACTATAGTCGTTAGTCACTTTAATTATAATTATTTTTTAAAATAATTATCATGATTTTATCATTTTTTTATAATAATTAATTTATCTCGTATATTACTTAATTCTCCTCAGAGACAGTGGAGTTAGATTAGCATTGCTAATGACGTGGTATGTGCGTTTGAAATGAATACCCAGTGAGCAATATGTTATCAAAAGAAATTCATAAAGTACTCAAGTTTAAGAGTCGGACTTCCGAAAACACCATCACAATGATAATATTATGATGTCAATAAGTCCTCCAATGCGTCGATTTTAGAGGAAAGAAAGACATCATATAATTGACATACTTGCGCAGGTGTGCGGCTTTCGTAAAATATCTTAAATGGCACGCTTGCTAGAGATTTTAGAGATATCTATGAAGAGATATCATAAAGAGCTCTTGTGAAAGATATCTTACAAAAAGATAACTTACTGATATCATTTCTAAGAAAATTTAATTAAGTCTTTAAAAAGTCCTCTTAAAGAGCTCATCCTCTCAATAATGCTCACTGGGTATCGTCCTTCGATACGCACGGCAACAATTATTGAATTATCTCCGCGAGTTTATCGATTTTACCTGATAAAACGGACCTCGCATTATAGCGACAATGTTTCCTCGGTATTTCTGCCCAAGCATTCCCGATTGGAATGCGAATGATACGGTGAACGAAAGGAATTCATGCGCGCAATCTGTCCTTTGACGTCATCCTCTTGCTCGCTTATCATTGTCCCTCGATAGTCCCTGCTGATAATTGCGGCGAATATAATGATTTTCGTAAAGTTACAAAGCATGCCGTGATAACACGCACTTACACGCGCAATCTTTGCGCTGATTGATAGCTCTGTGAATCATTTGGAGGGATTAACATAAGCTTTATCTTAAAAATGCTAGAGTGCTTCCTACAATCGTAAATATTGCCATTCAGATATTGCGACGGAAAAAATAGCGTGTAAAAATATTTAAACAGGAAAAAAGATATTAACTCTGCCGGTAATATTTTGAAACGATATAATACTTGGAATACACATACAAAATACAATATTCTGCCTATATTTTTTACATTTTTTAACAAAACGAAAGAACGAATTTTGAAACAACTTTCTCTGATTAATTTATATTTAAATTAATATCTATTAATTTAATATTGAATTAATATTTAAATTAATATTTTTTTAATGAATATTACGGGCTAATTGATATAAATTTTTTTTTATGATGATTGGGAGAGCATTTCTTAAGTATGAATTCGTTACACACACAAGCAGCGTAAATAATACATATTGCTACTAATTTAAATATAGAAACTGCGGTCGCCGTTGTTAAGAAGATTGGGCTTATCTGCTAGATAATGGCCGGGACATTGTCTTTTATATAATGAGTGTATATCACGGCCAATAGTTTCTACGATCGCTCGTCGTTCAGCCTCGACAGAAGTAAGATGATAGCAGTACAAAGTTAAACTGTGTACGCGCCAAATGTCAATTTAATTCGAGAAAATATCAGTGTCAAATTTTTATTTCTCTATATTTAATTCCCGTTATCGAAACAGCATTTTCTTAATGTTTTCTTAATGTTAAGAGGAAAATGAATGTAATTGGCCGATATCGCAAAATGGAGACAAGCAAAGTATTAATTTTGCCTTTAATCGATGTTTGTATATATGCTACGCACACAAGCATAGATACTATTTTTAACACATCCTATATATCTACGAATCGTGGTTTATAAAGTTATCTGTATGTACGCCTGTCCACATTCTTGCATTTCATATTGCGCATTAAATCGATGACCCGGTTGAAAATAGGAGCGACTGAAAATATTCTATTCTCGGGGGAAAAAATCTGCTGGAGAAATTTAAATTTCTTTGAAAGATTAAAAAAATTTTTCAAATGTTACTCTCATCGCGTGACAAAGAGTTCTTTGCTTCTCTCTACAGCATTAACTTGTACTTTTCAGAGCGATCGTCGTCGCAAACATTGTTGTTTACTGTACTCGCGGAATATCTGCGCACATATCGGATCCGGTATATACGACACACACACTCTCGGTATGCACGGTTGGCGGAGCGCCAAAGGTCATCCTTGAACATTCACTTTTCCATCCACGCGACGCGATCGCCATTCATAGAGATATGCCTCGCACGATCGATGCCTCTCGTCACTCTTCTTCTATGCCTCCCAATGTTAATTTCCTCTTTCTCCGATATCTCGAAACAATTAATCTGTAATCTGTCTTGTTTTTCGCTATACGAGAAGATAATAGCGAAATATTTTCCATCTATCGCTACGAAGATTAACGAGACGTATTTCTGTTTGCTTCGCAGGAGGGTGAACTTCTAGAAAAGAATACGGATTGGATCTACGAATGGAGCTCTCGACCGGACCAGGCGCCGCCAAAGTACGAGATTTGGCAATTAATTTAGAAATTTTGATGTAAAAATAGATATTTCTTTAGCTTTTCGTATTATTAATTATTACTACCATTAAAATTACTTTTACAGAGACTGGAAATTCAAACATCCTCTGGGCAGTAAGAGAAAAACATACAGCATCCGCACGGCAAAGGTTGGCAAGAACGGATTGTTTTCCAAGGAGGTCATTTACACCCTGTTCTTTACGAATCTTTTGTCTCTGCTCATTGGGACCGGTCTAGGGTAAAGTTACTTGTAACATGCTTTAAACGTAATATTAATTGCCGCGCTCTTATTGCATGTAACACTAATTAGGCTCACTTTTGTTGTAGCGTTTTGCTCACTAGGCGGGGCTTGATGATGTCCCGCGTCGCCATTGAGTGAAGAACATGATTCCGGGGTGTGTCAGCATCAGAATTTGATCACGGTTGAATCTGGCGAGGAGGGGAAGGCTGGAGATGCAAGAAAGACTGAACAAGCCGGTGGGCGATCGAGCCTAAAAACAGTTACACGCAGCACATAATTCGATTGTCCCGATTTATTATATTAGCACTTTGTATTATATATTAGCACTTTTACTTCCCCAATCCCTTTTAACTGTACGGTGTACTTCTAAAAAAATTTCGTATATCAAGTATAAGTAATGCGCATTATATGCTTAGGAAAAGGAAAAGGCTAAGAAAAATAAGAAAAATAAGCAAAAAAAAAAGATGGAGAAAAGAAACTATCGTATATAGTTACAGAGAGTTGTTGAAAGAAACAGGAAAATGAACGAAACGAATGTCCATTTTATACCGTTTCTAATGCGTTTCTATCCGCGATAGTTTGTAGGCATAGCTTGAATAGTATTTATCTGAAACTAATTATATATATTGTTAGAACGGAAAGAAAGAAGAGAGACTGAGAAAGAAAGAGTAAAAGAGGGAACGAAAGAGAGAATGTGCGAATATGTGTGTGCACGCGCAGGCGCGCGTGCGTGTATCTGTGCACGGAGGAAATGCGTCGAGAGAAGATCACGATTTACCAGTGCGGAAAGAATCAAGATATATCGATGAGAGAACGCTGGACGACTCGTCTAATTTATGTAAGTTACGGAACTCTTGTTACATTGCGAACGAGCCAATTTTGGGACGTTGAGTTAAGGGAATGAAAAAGAACATACATTATGTGTCTAAATAAATTTTCGAACACGATCGATAATATAATAAGCGATACTTACATATATCGATCGGTTATTCCTTTTTTCGATTATCACGCTTCAATGACATAGAAAAATCTTTCGAGATAATAAAAAAATTTCTTTGATTGTAATTAATTACAAATCTCAGATAAAAAATTAGTATGATTATGATAGTATTTTAAAAAGTAAAATCTATGGGAAATATATATAATTTTATTTGATGAAATAATAGTTATAAAAATTTCTGACAAATATCAGTGACAAAATACGGAAAAAACGCCGTATATTGTCTATAAAAAGAAATAAAATTTATATAATATATACAGCGTGTCCCCAATTTAAATGTCAAAACTTTAGGAGCGTGTAGGGGATCGATAAACTAAGACAAAAAGTCCTTTAGAGATTTGCTCGTTTTTGCTTCGTTTTGAAGAAAATCGCAAAAAATGAAACAAATAATTTTCACCAAAAAACTTAAAACAACACTTAAATTATCAGATTTATCAAAAAGTATTATAAAATAAAAATTGTAGAACGTGGAATTAAGAAAAGAGAGTGAGTTAAAATCCTCCTATTTACGGTTAACATAAATTTAAGTAAGTGGCATCTTACAAACGGTAAATTTACGAATCATTTATCTTTTGACGCTAACATGTCCAGAATCTTGGATAATTTAGAATAATATATTCTAGTGTATATGCAGTTTCTCGTTCTCTCTCTTCTTTTCTTTTTATTTTTTTAAATAATAACAGCAATAATAAAAGCAATATTATTTTTTTTATTTTTTTATTTTTTTTTATTTGGTACAAGCAAGTATCTGGGTAAATTGTACGATTAAAAATAATTATTCGATATTATGTAAAATATCTAGGTTTTAAAATCACGTGAGCCTATCGAGGTGGAAAAAAGGAACGGTAAAAAAATTGAAAGATCTTTCGATGGTCGACACGGCAGTCTGAGACCCCGGATAAGGGGTTAACCGAGCGAGGCACAATTACGCTCGAACGCCGCGTGAAATCGCGCAGGTGTATACACTCGAGAGCACCTAATTAAAGGTTTAACGACGACGATGCCTACATTAGCACTCTCTCTAACCGATTACGATCATCGCGATTGAATTTTCGAAAGCCGGCGCGAAGCTTTGACGTCGATCGCGAAAAATCGCGGTTTTGCAAAATTGCTCCGGGTATAAAAAAAAAAAATATACGATAAGATTATATAATATACATTAAGATTTAATTCTTGTGAAGCTGTTTGATTAATCCTAGAAAACGGTACTCCCACACGATTCAGAATCAATCAGAATAATTATGACATTCGAGAAAATATGACCATTTTCAAGAGTATGATTGATAGTTATTGAATCTTATATTTATTAGATAATCATATGTTACATCTATTGAATAGATAGCTATCATTCTTGAGAAAAAGAATTTTATAGCCATTATTGAGAATTCACAAATTGAAAATTATTATAGTATCACGATTATATTTTGTTTTTTCAGATTACCTTATACATCGCAACTAATAATCTCATCGAAATCATACAGAAACTTGGCAAAAGAGAAAGCCACGAAAATGCCACGATAAATTACTATATTTCGTATTGTTTAATGTGATATTTCGTTAACGAGTAGTCTCGTAACATTTATGCCGACGTTAGACAGGTGCCAGCGATAAGGAGTGAATTTCATCTTCGTGCCGTGGCAATTGAAGACCACCCTGAAATAACGCGCCGGAACCAGCAACAAGCGGTTGATGACAGTCATCGCCGTTCATGATTATGCACTATTGTGTAAACGATCCACGCGCACAAGTAGCCAGAAATCTCACCTTGCTGTTCTAATATCAGTAAAGTACAACTAATTATTTTGCAAATTATTACTTCAATAAAACTGAATGCACAGTTGATGAAAATATCTATTTAATTAGATTTAAGATATACAATCTTGTAATAAAAATGTGCAAATAAAAATAGAAAAAAATAATTTAAAAAATTCATTTTATACAAAGTTTAAAATTAATTTCAAAATTATTGTCATAAATTGTCATTTTAATTTTCTACGCAAAATAATTTGAAAATTATCATTAGACACAGGCAGATGATAATCTTCCGAAATATGTATCCTATTGATGTATTATATAGGGTGTCCCCAATTTAAATGTCAAAACTTTAGGAGCGTGTAGGGGACCAAAAAACTAAGACAGAAAGTCCTTTAGAGATTTGCTCGTTTTTGCTTCGTTTTGAAGAAAATCGCAAAAAATGAAACAAACAATTTTCACCAAAAAACTTAAAATAACACTAAAATTATTCGATTTATCAAAAAGTATTATAAAAAAAATTGGAGAACATGGAATTAAGAAAAGAGAGTCAGTTAAAATCCTTCTGAGGTAAAATTAGAGGATTGTAAATAAATACACGACAACGCGAAATTTTGTTTCTATTCTAATTTTACCTCAGGAGGATTTTAACTCACTCTCTTTTCTTAATTCCATGTTCTACAATTTTTATTTTATAATACTTTTTGATAAATCTAATAATCTGTTCTTTACGAATCTTTTGTCTCTGCTCATTGGGACCGGTCTAGGGTAAAGTTACTTGTAACATGCTTTAAACGTAATATTAATTGCCGCGCTCTTATTGCATGTAACACTAATTAGGCTCACTTTTGTTGTAGCGTTTTGCTCACTAGGCGGGGCTTGATGATGTCCCGCGTCGCCATTGAGTGAAGAACATGATTCCGGGGTGTGTCAGCATCAGAATTTGATCACGGTTGAATCTGGCGAGGAGGGGAAGGCTGGAGATGCAAGAAAGACTGAACAAGCCGGTGGGCGATCGAGCCTAAAAACAGTTACACGCAGCACATAATTCGATTGTCCCGATTTATTATATTAGCACTTTGTATTATATATTAGCACTTTTACTTCCCCAATCCCTTTTAACTGTACGGTGTACTTCTAAAAAAATTTCGTATATCAAGTATAAGTAATGCGCATTATATGCTTAGGAAAAGGAAAAGGCTAAGAAAAATAAAGAAAAATAAGCAAAAAAAAAAGATGGAGAAAAGAAACTATCGTATATAGTTACAGAGAGTTGTTGAAAGAAACAGGAAAATGAACGAAACGAATGTCCATTTTATACCGTTTCTAATGCGTTTCTATCCGCGATAGTTTGTAGGCATAGCTTGAATAGTATTTATCTGAAACTAATTATATATATTGTTAGAACGGAAAGAAAGAAGAGAGACTGAGAAAGAAAGAGTAAAAGAGGGAACGAAAGAGAGAATGTGCGAATATGTGTGTGCACGCGCAGGCGCGCGTGCGTGTATCTGTGCACGGAGGAAATGCGTCGAGAGAAGATCACGATTTACCAGTGCGGAAAGAATCAAGATATATCGATGAGAGAACGCTGGACGACTCGTCTAATTTATGTAAGTTACGGAACTCTTGTTACATTGCGAACGAGCCAATTTTGGGACGTTGAGTTAAGGGAATGAAAAAGAACATACATTATGTGTCTAAATAAATTTTCGAACACGATCGATAATATAATAAGCGATACTTACATATATCGATCGGTTATTCCTTTTTTCGATTATCACGCTTCAATGACAGTAGTTCCTACGGAGAGGAAGTATCGATGCTGACATTTACACCATTTCGATGCCGATTACAGATAACCGGAAGGAGGGACCATGAGAGAGAGAGAGAGAGATCTGTATAATTCGGAAATATTTTAAGAGTTTTAGACGGTATAAATTGCATACTGATCAGCTATGGGCAAACCGGATCTGGAAAGAGTTTCACGGTTGGCGGTTTTAGAAATAACTGGGAAGTACGTTTTTGAAATGTCACTTATTATTTAAACTTTTGATAAATTGATGATGAGTATTGATCTAATTATTTAGCATAGAGGAATAATCCCACGATTCTTGTCTGATATTTTTGCGGAGAAGACGAACCGAAGAAAGATTAGCGACATACACTATGGTTTAAGTTTTGTTGAATTGAAAGGTAAATACTTAATCGATCTCCTCACAACGCGAAAACGCAAGATTATCAATGTGAACGAGCACAATGCCTTTAAGGTATCATCGATTACCAAAGTTTTTGAATTTCTGTGTTTTTAGAAAAAAATAACGTTAAAAACAATTTTTCGAACGATACTTTTATAATTTTCTGAAATTATTACATTTATCTATTATTAGATATGTGTCTAATTTTGACAATATCTAACATATGTAAAAACATAATGGATTTGAAAAGCAATGAGAAGAATTGCAAGTAATGATGCAGACACAATAAAAACCGGTACAATTATGATTTCAGAGTATAACTATAGTGGATGTAGAGAATGAAGATGAGACTCTAAAAAAAGTGCTCGAAGGAGAAGCTAGAAGATCGGTTGTGAAGGACACAATGTACCCAGTATCACATTTGGGTGCAGCTGTGATTACTTTTCACGTCTCGAACACGAGTCTGATAAAATCGCAAGCCATCGTAACGACAGCCAAAGTAACTTTAGTTTCAAATTCTCACCCTTAAAATGTTGAAAATTCTCGTATCTATTTGAATGTCCTTAGAAGATAATTTTTAAATTCCTATAGAGAGAAAGAAAAAGAATTTTATGGAAATATTAAAACATATGAAAAAATGATATATTTTTAAGAATTTGTGAAATAAATTCACACCGTATAAATATAATTAGAATTAGAAAAATTCAAATATATAATACGTTTAACTATCTTAAATAAATTCAATAACGTGATTGAATTTTTAAAGGAATCACGGAGATCCTAATATCTTGAAAGAAAAATTTATTTTTATGGCTCGATATCAGATACACATAGTAGAGATGGCTGGAATTGGTACGGCAGGAAGTCCATCGAGTTGTTGGAAAACAGCGACCGACTTGGGTATGGCGAATTTAATGAGAATGCAGCTGGAACAGTACTTTGTATATCTCAGAAAACAAAGTGCGTGCATGTACGCTATAATTCGTTCGAATAATTTGCTAAAGCTGCTGAGAGACGCATTCAGCATCACCTCCGTCATTCGGTAACCATAAAAAAACAAACATTTAAAATAGCGCAAATTAATCTAGACAGAATTTAATTAGCTCAATGACTAATTTAAAACATTAAATCCATCATTTTTCTTCAATCAAATCTGTAATTTGGAGAGAGAAAGAAAGAGAGAGAGGAGAGAGAGAGAGAGAGAGAGAGAGAGAGAGAGAAAGATAAGTTACATTTGGACATATAGACAAAACTAAATACATGTTAGAAATTGTGCATAAATTTTTTATTTGCAAAATCAACAATACAATCCCTGTTACGTGAATTGACAGATTTTTTTCATATTCTTAGGTAAGTTGCGCGTTATTTAATTTACAATAATGATATTCAACGTACTTTTTATAAGCAATTATTTTGTAATATTGTATGTATGTTATGTCATACGCATAATAATAATCGTATTTCATATGTAATAGTTGGCGTTGGTGACTTTCTAGCGTTGTGTCGAATACTCGATTTTCTTTCCATCGATATTTTTTCGAAGCTGTTTCTCTTTGCTAAAATTAAAGTTTTAATTTTATGGATAATTTATACATAAGAGCGCTACAAAGAATAAAAAATTTTGTAAATTCATACTTATGATGAAGTATTTAATTTTCACAGATTATTTGCATGTAGATCACTTTTTTTAAACTATCCTAATCTCTGTTCTGTTTTGTGTGTAACACCTCGTTTGACTGTTAAAAATCGAATTTGAAATGACAGAAATTGAACTCTAGACAATTTCAGCTCTATAAATAGCATACAAACTAAAAATGAGATTAACCTTTTTCTCTCACAAATGCGCAATATATTGAAATAATGTTGCAAATGTATCATGTGTGTGTGAAAAATGTATCAAACGAACTTTTTTATGTTGGATGACGAGTCGATCGATGAGAAGCACGAGAGAAATATAAAAGTTTTCGTGCGAATTCTACCGCTCGAGAAACCGTGCGATTCTTGCGCAAAGATCAGTGCGGATAATAAGGTGAGATTGATGTAAATCTCTTTATTGTTAAATCGATAATATTAGAAGCTTTTTTGGATATTTGTTTCTAGTTGAAAAAAAAAAAAGGAAAAGATTCCACTCGCATTATAAAATTTATTATTATTTATTATTATGTGTGCCACTGTGTATTTTTCGAGATTCACACACATTTATTGTCACAGATATATTTTATTATTATTATTTATGAAAACATCTCACAAATTTAACATATCGATACGTTCTATTAATTAATTTGCTGTAACATCGTTATTTAGACAATATACGTGAGATGTTTACAAGATATGCGAAACCGACGAAACCGTCTGTCGGCGGCTCCACATCCCGTTTATTGGACCTTTCGCACTAACGGAATATTTCACGAGACGTCCCAAGATAAAGTGTATCGCGCTACCACAAAAGATCTCGTAGAAAAGTATCAATTGATAATTGAAATCGATAATAATGATATTTCGTATTGCATCCTTGATATAATTAATATTGTTCAATACATCAATAACAAGTTAAATCATGTTAAATTCAAACATTAAATTCGACATTATTAAATTCAAAAATAATTAATTTAAATTTTTGGATTATCTTTGTTGAAAGATTTTCCTATCATTTCTGTTAATATCTCAAGTTTAATAAACCTTTATTCTATATATAACTTATAATGTTATTTGTTATATTACTAATTTAACACAAATTATTAAATTTTAAAATAATTTAATAATGTTGTGTATCTAATTATTATATTAATAATGTTGCAAATGAGATACATAATGTTAGCATATGGATTGACATAAATTAATAGAGGTTTATCTCAAATTTGACAAATAAAGTTGA